CCCCCCCCCGTTTTATTGAATGAGCGTGAAAAGCATGCGAACTGTAAAATATCTGAGTTCCTCAAATATTACTATGATATCTGTGGAAAGAGTGAAATAGTCTCAAACTTATTCATGATTTTGTCCATAAATCTGATCACTGTTGTACTAGCTGTAATTGCTTTTGCTTATGATCAGACATAAATACACCAGCTTTAGAAATTTATTATATAATACGTTGCTTCATTTGAAGTAGCGCTAGAAACTAACCCTACACTGGAAATGGACAGTGAATAAGAGTTATGTATTTCCAGGTATCATCAGAATTGCTGAGAATCTTCCTTAATGGAAGAACATCAAGATCAATATTTGACTGGAAGTGATTTGAATGGTTGATACTGAGATAAAAAGAAGGAAAATAGCCTGGTTTCACTGAGAGAATTAGAGGGGTAACTGGACCACAAATTGCAATGGATAGTATTGATTAGCATGGTGAGATGGGTTTCAAGCTGTAACTGATCTGGCTATTTGGATTTCTTTTTTTCCTCTGTATATTTTTGAGGCATAGAGTAATGTATCTGCCATGGGGGAAGGGCCGTTCCTGGACAGTCAGATCTATTGCCAAACTCTGGGTTATGGAAAAACCTGATTACCCAGTTGGTAAAGATGTCAGGCATAGGCTTTTTAAACATAAACCTACTTTTTCAAAAATGACCTAAACCCAGACAGAATTTGAGTCTTAAGTGCTGCAGCTCTGAGGGTGGATATGAAGCGTAAGAGACTTCTGTGACCACTGCCATGAGCTTTCATAGCCTCATTTCTCCTTCTGTCTCAGCTGTTTTGTTCTTCGCATGTGTATGTAACTGATGCAAAATACTCTGATTATTTGCCCAGAAAAGCTCTCCAGTCAGCCCTGCAAATCAGCTCCAAGGAACTGTAATGGTTGTGATGAAATCTCCTTAACCTTTTACATACACTTAAAAAGTGTGTGTGTGGGGTTATTAGAGCAGAATGCTTTCTTTTTTTTTTTTAAAGTTACTTTGCATTTTTGTATTAGGTATCATACACAATGGAATTTTAAAGCTCAAATGAAATGCTTCGATTTCATTGATATTAAATGTTTCAATTAGCATAAAAAAAAGACTTTGTGAGGTTTTATTTTTTTCTATGTACACATTTTTGGAATGTAACCAAATTTTAAACTTTCAGAATTTACTGTGAATCTTTCATTCCCCCAATGCTCAACATGTATGCCAAAATATATTTGCAGAACTGCACCAGATAGAATGATAGGTTTAATGAAATGGGAGATAGTTTCATAGAAGGAAAATTTGTGAACTGTATATACCTATATAGAGGAATAGAATCAGTTTTATGGCAGCAAGATTCAGCTACTCTTATTCAGCCCAGGTTTTCACAATGAATATTCTAAGTAGATGTCAGTCTACTTTTTTTCAGTAAAGAACTTTGAACTCCTGCTAAGAGGTTTACATTATCATGAAGTATAGGTAATAAAAAGGAGAGGAACAGAGCTGTCACAGCTGTTCTGGAATATCTCTTTTAAGTAGCTATTTTACATGCAGAGTAGTCTAACCTTTGAAATTGAAATGTTCATAACATTAACATATAAATTCTGAAAAAGAGCCCATTTTTTTCATTTTTTTGCAAAGAGAAGCTTAGTTTAAAAATAGGCAGTTACTTGCTTAGATTTAAACGTTCATCCAGAATCTCTCTATTAAATCGCAGTGGGGAGAAAAGCTGTAGAATTTGCGATGCACATGGAGCTTTGCTGGAAGTGGGATGCTGCTCTCCTAACACCACTTCTTTTGGCCTTCTCAAAACTAAATCTCTACTAGACTTCCAGTCACTCTCTGCCAATCCTGTGGAGACAGGTGCATTTAATAACACACATACATCTTCCTTCCATGGCACACACGTCTTCCTTCCTTGGCACCTGCCTTAGGTGGGGCTGGAAAGCCCTCGAGAGGTGTTTTCTTGCTGCCTGAATGTCATTGTACAGCTGTACAAGACTGTTCCCACCCAGGCACTGTGAACTGCCTGTTTTCTTAATATTCTTTGTATGTTCCATTTGCTGATGTTCAGAAGAAATTCCAAATATCATATTTTTTCTGAGAGCGGAAATTACTCTGCTTTCTGTCTTACTGCTTACAGCATCAGCTCAGGTGTGTTATAATACCTCAGAGAAGCACTTGTATAACACCTTATTGGTGAAGAATGATTTGTGTTAGTTTCAAATAACTTGCAGTTCTTTTATTCTGGCTTTTTCAGGAAATAGGAAATAATCCTGATGTGATTTGGGAAGCCTTTCAGAAATATTGGCACTGTTGACCTTAAACGTAAGGTGAAAATAGTATCAAGTGTATACAAGTGAAGTTACGCATTGTAAACCTGTATCAAATAACTTTAAAGCTGCCAGGCACACTTTTCAGAAGTAACTTAGAAGTGACATTGTCAAGAGAGATTTGGGCCCTTTGGCATAACTCTTCACAAGACTTCTTGTAGATTCCTGAGTCACTTCACAGGTAGAAGTTTTCCATGTCATCAGTATTAGTAGCCAATAGTTCCATGATGGTTTTTTTTCTCTCTCTCTTTCTCAGCTCCCCTTTTTAGATACTGGATACTTCTTTTATCACAATGGCATTGCTAAGGCCAGGAGAAGGCGCAGTCTTCAACACAAGCTTCATCTGGAAAAGGATTCCAGGGTAAGTGTTTCATCATCACGTGCACCTATCATGTTTTCTTTGTGATGCAGACTATTTTTTATAAAATCAGGGTGTTGATCAAATCTGTGGTTATGGCTATGTTTTTTTTGCCATGTTTGTTTTAGGCTTGGGACTGCTGTATGCACACACCGCCCACACAGCCTTGACTTTTATTTTTATTTCACTACTGCAAATACTTTTACATTCTCAGAGATGCATCCTCTCTCCAGTAAGGCTTGGTGATGCCATAGTCTCCAGGACGTCTCAGTGCGCTCTGTCTCTGTACTGTGTGAAAGGGCCATCCAGGGCACATCTCACAGTCATACCCCCTATGCATCCCACTAGTCCTTGGGTCATCCAGCCTAGAATACCCTGTGGTGCGAATGGTGGCATTTTCACTGCAGTCTCAATGGGACTTTTTCTCCAGGAATAGTGTACACACCAGATGCTAAGAGAGTGTACATTGTCAGGAGACTCTTGCTCACAGTCTGCAAATGGTGTGCTCAGTTTTCAGAAGCATAAACCCTTCAGACAGGAAGGGAAGGCCCCTTTTGCAGAAGGCTATGAGCTGGCACTAGCAAATTTATTTATTTAATTATGTTTTTCCCTTCAGTTTTTACACCAGTAAAATACTGGGCTGTAGTGGGGCCAGGTAGCACGAAAAGTGTATTTACTGCCCAAAGAAAGTAGATAAGCCTGAGGAATGATATCATGACAGCAAATAGGATTAAAAAATAATCTTCGGTAGGATTTAAACTCTCTGCACTATGAGCAAAAAAGAGGGGGGAACAGTTTTATTCCAGTCTGAATTTTATTGCCAGATATTATATGGTATTAAAACACCTACAAAAATGAAAATCTAAGTAGGAGGAAAAGAAAAATAGATTAAATAAGATCATTATTGTTGTTGTGACACCAGAGCAAGCAAGGTCTGCTGAATTCCCAGCTTAATTTTCCTACTTCTACAGAAATTTCAAGTGGTTCTGGGTCTGGGTCCATCTGGGATGCACATGGCTTGTCACTCCTGTGGCTGGGAGCCATGTGAATGAAACACACAGATTCCAGGTGTTGCTTGCTCCATCACTTCATCCTGAGAGACTGAGACCTGAGTGCTGGCAGGTTCCCTGGGGCTGCTGCTGGTCTTCCAGTGCTCTAAGGTACCGCTTCCTGGCCCCCTTCTCTAAAACAGGTGTCGGGTACAGGTGAGGGACTGTGAGGAAGAGACCCATTCAGCCTGCTTGGAATAGAAATTCTCAGACTTCCCTGTTTTTTGTTTACCAAGCAGGGATCAGCAAGTAAACCATTAAGAAACCACGTACAATTAGTGGATACTAAGCAAATGTCCTGAGAGGTGTCTTATTTTCCTGAACCACCCAATCTTGTTAAAAGCTATTTCAGGAAAAGCATACAACTGTGTGTGTTGCAAACTAGTGACTGAGTGCAGTCATTGTGCAGGTGACTCTGTGCTGCAAGTAAATATTTCTGTAAGCCTCTGAAAATTTCACAAATATCTATGATATTTGTATGAATCCACCAATTCTCATTGCAGCTTCATATTACATTGCTGAGTGCTCACTTGCTAATTCCACACTGGCTCTTGCACTGTCCACCTCTAGGCTAAGTGTCTGCAATGCTAAGAACCACTTAAATGAATCTACCTCCTCGGTCAGAGATGTTGTCTTTCGCAGTCATCTGATATTGGTGGTCTCTAGACTCTTAGTTGGCTTCTGTCACGTGCAATGAAATCTCACTTTTGCTGTTAATCTCCACTTCTTCCTGGTGCTGCATACCAGTGGCTCAGCTCCCCTTAGCTCCCTCCTTTGATCTCAGGGAATAAAGCCCTGTGTTTAAATAACCAAGAATATGTCCAGTGTGAGGAAAAGGATGGTCCTGGGTGTATCTTGACCTCATGAGTTATGCTGGGGGATGGAAGCAGCATTTCATTTCTACATGTAACGTGACATTTTCTCATTTAGCCCTCCTGCTTGCTCTGTCCTGTTGGCTAGTCCTTAAACTCTTACAGTACCATATAGGTTGGTTGCTTTTTTTAATGCAGTTTGAGAGCAATTAAAATCATTACTCTTATTTCTTCTATAAGTGGAGTTGGGAGAAGTCATTAAAATTCCTGTCATATTTGCATATAAGTGGAAACATGAGTTGTGTTGACAATACTTAATTTCAAACTCCAAAAATAATTTCTAAATTTAATGGCAGCTTTCTAGACCATTTACATTCAATTTTACTTAGCAACAAATGTCAGCGCTGTCATGGTTAATATGTTAATGCATGAAGCCAAGAATAAAATGTTCCTATTGTCAGGCTAGCCAGGAAGCAAACTTCCACCACAGGGCCTTACAAATCTCTAAGGAACCATTATGGTAAAAGCTGTAGTTGCTTAGCCCTACTCAAATGTTGTGAGAAAGTGGGCTGCAGTTATTCTGTATACTTTTCACTTTTAAGGAGATTACAATTCCTAGCTAATTTTAATTATAAGTTGAAAAACAACACAGATGTTCACTCAATTAATTAATGTTCTTTAATCAAGTAAGTCCCTTGAGGAACCATGTCAGTTTTTCAAGAGTCCAGGGAGATAGATGGCAGATCACTATGCAAGCAGGTTACTGCATCATTTTCATGCTCTGCATGTCTTTTAAAATGCTTGAAAAAGCTGTGTTGTGTAAAATTTACTTTATGCTTTTACCAAAATAATTTGGAGAAAAGCTAAACATACACAGCAGTTGTGTGATAAACATCATTGTTGTCAAGAGGGTGGGAATGGAGCGTTATTAAGATGCCTTCCCAGAGATGCAGCAAGAAACCGAATCTTTGTTCTGAAGAACAGCCTTAAATAGAATGGATCTGACATTATTTAATACATTAGTGTTGCTGAAGCCTGAAGCAGCACTGGCAGCAGGTGAAGGCGTACGTAATGGTGTCATATAGCGTGTTGTGCTATTGAACTGTTCAAGAAAAAAGTGCAGGCGGACAAAGCACCGTGGCTTTTGCTGTCAGTACTGTCCTCTTAGGGACCCTCACTGTCAGGATGGCAGATGCCACGGTGAACTGAACTGCTTCAAATGGAGATTGTTTAGGTTTTTTCAATCGCATTCGCTGAGGAGCAGAGAACCTTCCAGGAGAGGTTTGCTCAGGAACAACTCCTTTGTGTCAGCTGCAGATTTCCATGATTTCCAGGTGCACTTGTATTTTGTTGTTTTACCATAGATACCTTTGACACCAAATAGATTTTTTTGAGGGGAAGAAGTCCCTTTAACATTTTTACATGTTAAAGCTGGATTTTTTAATAAGACATAGCAGAAAGAGATCCAGCATTCTCCATGTGAAATTGCACTTTTGTCTGCCTTTATCTGTTAATTGTTTCAGCTGAAATTTCTCAAATCAAAAGGTCAGCTATTAGGCTTGGTTTGCCTTGGGAAACTTCACTTAGGTAGCTGCAGTACTTTACCCTGGAGCTGCAAGCAGGGAGGCAGTCCTTGCCATGACCCGTGAGCGCAGGCAACGGGGAAGAGGAAACAACAGGGGCCAAGGGTCCTGAGTGGTGTAAAGCCAGCGAGGAGCCAGAGTAGGATCGGATCAGACATCAACGTGAAGGTGAGGAGAGGTTAAGTGGGACAGGCTGGTGCAAGAGCCCAGAGTCTGAAGAAAGATTGAGTGATTTTGGCATGGAGCCATGCCATGGGCTGAGGAGGACATGGAGAAACACAGGGGTAGATTGTGAGAGATTGGAAACAGAGTGTCTGTATTGACATCAGAGCATGCTGCCGCCCAAATGCAGGTCACGATGCTATCTCTGAGCAAGGTGACCTTTTCCAAGGGAGACTTCCCTGTGGCCAAGGAGAAAGACAGCTTTTGTGAGAGCAGACTTTGGTTTTAATTATGAGGAACGAGTGTGTTTCATCAACATGATAGCTCTCGAAAAGTAAATCAGAAATATGGAGATACTTCATACTGTTTGTTAGGTTTCCTATCTCTGAAAGTACAGGAGAAGCAGGATGGGAAATAGAAACTCTTCCTTCTCCATCATAGGTAAAAGAAAACCATGGGATTTGCTTCATTTTGATTTTCAAAACTGCATCAGATTCTGTCCTCCTATGGAGAGACTCAGCTTTGTTATTAATAAATGTTTTGAAAAGTGGCCACATAAGTAAAAGGAAAGAAAAAAACGCACTGTTGTTGTGTTACCTTTCAGAGCAATACTTTTGTATTTTTGCTGTTGTTGCGTATTTTCTGTTAGTAAATAGTCTTCTACTGAAGGAGCAAGAGTTGAAACACAGTTTGTTCTCTCAAAGATTATTTTGCTTTCTTTCAAGTTTTAGATAAAACCATTTTCCTCCCACACAGTCTCTCCTGTCAGACAGCTGCCAAGATTAATCCCACTCAAGAAAGAGGCTTTAATATACAGAGAAGAGCTGAGTCCATTGCTGATATCTATATGCAGGTGCATCTGTGTTGGTGTTGGGGGAATAAATATATATGTGCGGAGGGGGGGAGGTGAAATGAAAATCTTCTACTGAGAGTAGAAGATTTGGTTTGGCACTTAGATGATGACTTCTTTGGAAATAAACATCTCAGTGATGGCCATTGTTACGTTGCAGAAAGGGATTAGAAAGGGAGCCTTGGCTGACACCCATGCCAGTACAGGAGTCTGGGGAGGGCAGATGTGTAGTTTCTTCAAGGTGTAGTCTCTAGGTGTCCATGGTTAATAGTACTCCCATACTGCTTGTGTCATGGGTCAAGGGAAGAAAAGAGGGCTGTAAATGCAGAGGATCTAAGCTTTTAGTTAAATAAATCAAAATCTTCCATATCCTTTCTCACCTCGTATCCTCCCTGTGCCCCCTTAACATGACTGCCTTGTGGTCAGACCACTGCAACCTGTGAAGACAGAAGTGCCCTGTGATGGAGGAATTTGTAAGTGCTGCCAGAGCTGGATATTTCGTCCATGGTCACCTTTAACAGGGGGAAAGAGGGCAGGAGCTTGGGCA